CTGGCCTCCACCCTCGGCCCAATGGAGGAGGCTCGAGGGAGCGCGCGCAGGACCGGCGATTGCCGAGGAGAAGGAGGGGGGGAGGAGGGAGGACGAGAGGCAGGGGACTCCGTGCGCCCGCTGCTCGCCTGATAGCAGGACGAGGACGGAGGAAACGAGCCGGGGAGGGAGGAGGAGGAGGAGGAGGAGGAGGAGGAGGAGGAGGAGGAGGAGGAGGAGGGGGAGGAGGGGGATGAGGAAGAAGAGATGAGGACGGAGGACTCCGTGCGCCCGCTGCTCGCCTGATAGCAGGACGGAGGAAACAAGCCGTGGGAGGGAGGAGGAGGAGGAGGAGGAAGGCGGGATGAGGAAGGAGAGATGAGGAGAGGAAAACACATGATCATATGGTGGCGGTGATGCTGACGATGGTGGTGGTGGTGGTGGTGATGGTGGTGGTGATGATGGTGGTGGTGGTGATGACGATGGCGCTGGTGATGATAATGACTACGATGATGGAGGATCATGACGCTGATGGAGATGATGATGGTTACGTATGATGTTGCTGATGAAGGTGATGCTGATGATAATGATGTTGATGCTGTTGTGATGAATGCTGAGCATGATGATGGCGATGGTGATGGCGATTGGGATGATGCTACTGATGGTGCCGAAGGTGATGGTGCTGGTGATGGTGATGGTGATGAGGATGATGCTGATGATCGTGATGAAAATGATGATGACGACTATAAGGGTGGGCTGGCGGCGATGATGATGATCACGGTGGTGGTGGTGGTGGTGGTGGTGATGGTGATGGTGATGGTGATGGTGATGGTGATGGTGATGGATGATGATGATGGTGGCGATGGTGATGGTGATGGTGATGATGATGATGACGACGACGACACTGACCATGATGACGATGCTGGCGAGTTGTTACTATAATGGTACTGGTCGGTATGATTGTGTTACTGGTGGTGCTGACGATGATGCTGACGATAACGATGAGGATGGTGGTGGCGATGATTGTGATGAGAGCAATGGTGTTGATGGTGGTGGTGATGATGATGGAGATGACGAAGACGATGATGATGATGATGATGATGATGCTGGTGACTGTGATGGTGATGGTGATGATGATGACGACGACGATACTGACCATGATGGCGATGCTGGCGAGTTGTTCTGTAATGATAATGGTGAGTATGATTGTGGTACTGGTGGTGCTGACGATAATGCTGTCGATAACGATAAGGACGGTGGTGGCGATGATTGTGATGAGGACAATGTGACAATGGTGTTGGTGGTGGTGATGCTGATGATGATTAAGATGACGAAGACGATCGATGATGATGATGATGATGATGATGATGATGATGATGATGATGATGATGATGATGATGCTGCTGCTGCTGATTGCGATGGTGATGGTGATGGTGATGCGGTGACATCGTGACGGCGATGATGGCTACGTTTTAGTGTTACCATGAGGCTGGTGAGTATAATAATGATGAAACTGTTGATGATGATTGTGATGACGACGATGATGATGATGATGATGATGATGATGATGATGATGATGATGATGGTTCTGGTGGTTGCGGTGATGGTCTTGATGATGATGATGATGATGATGATGACGATTGTGATCATGATTATGAGGCTGATGATGATGATGATGATGGTGGTGGTGGTGATTGATGATGATGATGAAGATGATGATGCTGCTGATGATGATGATGATACTGATGATGATGAGGGGGATGAGGATGAGGATGAGGATGATGACGATGATGATGCTGATAATGATGATGATGATGATGATGATGGTGATGATGATGATGATGATGATGATGATGATGATGATGATGATGATGATGATGATGATGATGATGATGATGATGATGATGATGATGATGATGGTGGTGGTGGTGGTGGTGGTGGTGGTTGTGATGGTTGTGGTGGTAATGATGGTGCTGATGGTGATGATGGTGGCAGTGATGGTGTTGATGGTGATAGTGGTGACGATGAGGAAGAGGAGGAGGGGCAGCAGGAGGGACGGAGGGAGGCGGGAGGAGCACTGCGATGATGCCTATCATCCACTGGGACAGCACATCTATGATTTTATCATCCTCCACGTGCTGCCGCTCAGTGGCCTCAGCAGTGAGAGGCATCACGGAGTTAGACAAGCTTGCGGCTGCGTGCGTCGTAAATCCATGCTGGACTCTATTACCCCCCCGATGTTCGGCGTCTTCGAGCATGGATGGAGGTCAGCCGCCCTGCCGTGCCTCTCAACGCCCCTTCCTCACCGTTCCCTCCCTCCCCTCCCCTCCCCTCCCCTCCGCGCACGTCCCCGCCCCCGCCCCATCCCTTCTCTCCCTTCCTCTCCACGCCCCTCCCTGCCTCTCTTGCCCGCCATGTTCTCCCTCCGCTTCTCCTGGCCCCTCGCGCCTCCTCCCCGTCCCTCTCCACCCGACCCGTGCTACCTCACGGACCCCCTGACGTCGCGATTTTTTCACAACGTCGATCCCCAGAGGTCTGGACCCCTTCCCTGGGACCGGCTTGTCACCCTGAGTCGTTTTTTGACTGTCCCGAGGCCCAGTAGGTGCTCCCGGAGGCCAAAAATAATGACACATTCCCCGTCGTGGTTTTCTTACCACGCGAGGGGGTCTGGGGTCTGGGCCCCTCCTTCTCCAGGCTGACGTGGAGGACGGCCCGCTCGAGCCCGAGCACTACATGTACTACGCGCAGCAGTACGCGGCGCTGGCTCAGCAGTACGCGGCCTACGCGCCGTGCTCGGCCGCCTCCTCTTTCGGGGAGCGGCGCGGCGCGCCTTCCCCTCCCCCCCTGCGTGGCCACGACCAGGCTGCAGCTCGAAGAGCTGGCCAGGATGGCGTCTCCCCGGACACTGTTCCGTCCGCGGCGAGGCGGAGCCGCTGCTCCAGCGGGCGGCGATCCGGGGCGACCGGTGCGCGAAGTGCCCGGGCGTGTAGGAGGGGGGGCGCAGCAGAAGGGGCGGCCGCGGAGTGCAGGAGGAGGAGGGAGAGGAGGAGGGCACACAGACGCGGAAGGCGTCCGTGCCGAGGCGTCTTGCCGGAGGCCTTGCTCTGCTTTGTCAAAATACGCGGCTCGGCGTCGCTCGGACGTGTGCGTTCTTATTCTCGGCGAGGGCCATTGAGGAGCCTGCTCGACCATCGGGTTACAACAAAAACCACGCACGAGGCCGCAACGTGCACGGGGAATGGGCCTCCGAGCGACGGCGAGGTGGTCCCCAGCAGGCCCGGCCCGTTCCCCGGGGGCCGGCGTCTCCTCCCGAGGCAGCTCTCGCTGGCCCGAGGGCCTGGCAAGGGCCCCCGGGGGGGGCCGAAGAGGGCCCTCGGCACCGCCCGCGGCAGCTTTCCCCGCGGCCTGAGCACGTCCGGGTCGGAGGGCTCCGCAGCTGCACGCTCGGCTCGGCGGCGAGCGAGGGGGAGAAGTGCGAGGGAGGGGGCCTTCTCGGAAGGCTTCCCGAAGCCCTGCAGGCCTCCCGGGAAGTTTCCCGGGCCTGCGCGGGCGGAGGCCGCGCGTCCCGGGGGCAGGTGGGGGCGCGTCGCGTGCCGGGGCCTCTTCCGTCCCATCCCTCCCTCCGTCTGCCCCGCGCGGGAGGCGAGGCAGGACACCTCTCGATCTCACTATCGGTCTCACTGTCGATCTCACTATCGCTCTCACTCAACGGGACACCATACGACACCACGGGGCACCTCGGGACACCACATCGATCTCACTATCGATCTCCCGATCGATCTCACTATCGATCTCACTCAGCGGGACACCACGGGACACCTCGGGACACCTGTCGATTTCACTATCGATCTCACTCAGCGGGACCCCTGTCTGGCTGTCAGCGGCGAGCGAGGGGGGGGGAAGTGAGAAGGAGAAGGCCTTCTCAGGAGGCGGCGGGGCTTCTCAGAAGCCCTCGCGCCTTCCGAGAGGGTTTCTGTGTCCTCGGGGAAGGCTCCAAAACTTCTCAGAAGGCCGGGGGACTTCCGAGCCTTCCCGAGAAGGCCCGCCCCCTTCTCACTCCCCCCCCGCGCTTGCCGCCGAGCATCGGCAGGTTGGCGCTGGCCTCGACCCTGGTGGCGACGCCTGCGCGAGGGTCCATATCGGGCCCTCTCCCATCCCATCCCTCTTGGTGTCTGTCCCGCGCGAGGCACACGGAACAGTGTCGCCGACCTTCCTTGAGATTTTGGCGCTGCAACTTCTTCACACTGGGCGTCTTCGCCCGGCTCCGGGCCCCAGGACCATCACAGATCGGCCTGGCATCGAAAGATGCTGCAGAAAGACGGAGTCTGGGGCTCTTAGGGGGCCACTTGCGAACCCTACCCCTACCCCCCACGATTTCTGAGGGGGAGGGTGGGGTCCACTTTATTCACGAGCTCCCGAGCGCAGTGAACCCCACCCTCCCCCTCAGAAATCGTGGGGGGTAGGGGTACGGTTCGCAAGTGGCCCCCTAGCTCTGGTCGTGAGTCGTGATTGTTCGCGATGTTGCACTTTGGATGTTCTCGCAACGTCGGGTCTCAGGGCAGGCACACGGCACAGTGGCGCCAACCTTGGAGCTCTGCCTCGGTCGGTTGCCCCTCGCTCTCGGACGACTTGGGCCCCTTGGCACGCAAACGGGAGGAGCCATCTCGTAAGCCCAACCACAGCCCCATCCTCCTCTTCCGGTTGAGCTCTGCCTCCGCACTCTTTTCCTCCACTCCTCCCTCCAGTTCCGCCCGTGGGCCCCAGCTTCCACCCCCCCCCCCCCGCGATCCCCATCCCCATCCCCAGCCCCCCCCCCCGCCCCCCCCCCCCCACGTGCCCCCCATCTCGCCTCTCCCTTGTGACCCCTCCCTTGCCCCTCGCCCCATCGCCGATCGATCGCCCCCCCCCCCGCCCTCCCAGAGCCCATGTCCCCCCCCCTCCCCCCCAAGCCCCCCACCTCCTTTCTCTCCGCTGCCGTGGAGCTCGAGCGCCCCCTCCCAAGCCCCCCACCTCGTCCCCTCCTCTCGAGCCGCGGAGTTCGAGGCCGACCGCGCGGGCATCTGCGCACCCCGCCCGCCCCACCCGCGGAGGAGGAGGAGGAGGAAGGGGAGGAGGAGGAGGAGGGAGGAGGAGGAGGAGGAGGAGGAGGAGGGGAAAGAGGACCTTCCCATCCTCCCCTCGCCCTCGTCCTATCCCAGGGCCCGCACCCCGTGGCTCGGAGCACCGCGCGAGGCCGATACAACCTGGGCGCCTCTTCCCCTCTCCGGGGAGGAGGAGGAGGAGGAAGAGGAGGAGGAGGATGAGGAGGAGGAGCAGGAGCAGGAGGAGGAGGAGGAGGAGGAGGGAAGGAGGGAGGGAGGGGCGTTGGGAGGGAGGAGGAGGAGGAGGAGGAGGAGGAGGAGGAGGAGGAGGAGGAGAGGAGGAGTAGGAGGAGGAGGAGGAGGAGGAGGAGTGAGGAAGGAGGAGGAGGAGAGGATGGGAGAGGGAGGAGGAGTAGGAGCGGGAGCAAGGAGGGAGGAGGGAGGAGCGGGGAGAGAGTAGGGCCCCGCTCCCGCCCGGTCCTCTGCCGGGGCCCCGGCCGAGGCGCAGTACTGCGCCCAGTTCGCGCCCCCCGAAGGGTCGCCAGGAGCGCTGCGGCCCGCGGCCGCCCCACCTCTTCGCGCCGCAAAGAAGTCAGCCCTGAGATCCAGGCGTCGCAATTTGTTCGCACCGGGCGCCGCACCGCCGCGGAGGCCACCGCGGCCGCGGCGGCGGCCACCGTCGGGGCCGCAGCGGCGGCCGCAGCCGCACTGCGTGGAAGGTGCAGGTCGAGGGGAGAAGGTCGGGACCTCCGTCGGGCCGCGGGCCGAGAAAGTCGTGTCGGCGGAGGTCGGAGCCTGCGCTGCTCCGTAGAGAGAGTAGGGTCGGACGAATGGGGGGGATTGGAAAAAAGGGCCTCCTACTCCTGGTGCTCCTCCTGCTTCTCCTAGACCTGCTCCTGCTCCTGATCCTCCTGCTCCTCTCCCTCCTCCTCCTCCTGCTCCTCCTGCTCCTCCTGCTCCTCCTCCTCCTCCTCCTCTTCCTCCTCCTCCTTGGACCTGCCTCTTCGGAGGCAGGCCACCGTCCTAGTCCTAGTCCTTCCTCCTCCTCCTCCTCCTCCTCCTCCTAATCCTTCTGTTTCTCCTCATCCTGCTCCTGCTCCGCCTGCTCCTGCTCCGTCCTCCTGCTCATGCCCCCCCCCTCCTCCTGGTTACTCCAGGCCTCCCAGGTGGGGTCCGAGTAGATGGGGTCGGAGGATCGCGCTGCATCGCCGATGCATCGGCGATGCGGCTCGATGTGGAGCCCGATTTCTCCCACGCTGACGTCGACGATGCATCGGCGATGCGGCGCGATCCTCCGATCCCCAGCTCAGACCCTCTTGGGGAGGCCTCTAGTCACGAGATCGCCTGCGTGCAGCCGGTTTCCTCTCCGCCGCTGGGCGCTTCCCTCGGCACATCAAAACGTCTCCAGCTCCAGGGGGCGCCCGGAAAGATCGGCTACGCGAGCCCATTCGCTGAAACAATTTTGCTTCCCCTCCGTCCATTCATTCCTCTGGCCCGAGAGAGGTGCCCAGAAGCTTCTGGCAGGCTTCGGGCACTTGGAGGCCTTTCCAGACCTCTTCGCGTCGGAATAAAAAAGCACGCGACGGCGGGTTTTGCCCGCTTTGGGTTTCCAGTGGCATTTCGCAGGCCCTGGGGCGTCAGAAAACAGCTCGGGATTCGAAGTCAGTCTCCGGGAAGGAGTCTGGGCCTTTGGCGAACCACTTTGCGAAAAGATCACGACGTCTGACGTCTGGGACGGAAACATATTCAGACGTTGTTTAGCAAAAGTTTGGCATCTGGAGGCTTCCAGATATCTCTGGAGGCCTCCGAAGGCCCCTGCTTACCGTCGCGCCAGTAACATACGGCAGCGTGGCAGCGCGGGTGAGGGGCAGCGTGGAAAGGAACATGCAACTGCAGTGGTCCAAGGGAAGGTGACGGCGCCCGTGCTGGCACGCCGAGTGGAGCTATGCGGGGCGCTGATTGTATGCTGGACTTTAGCTCTGTAGGCTATATGGGGCAGGGGAGGCAGGGCGGGCATCCCGGATTTCACAACATAAAGGGTGGTGGTCTGATTTGGGGTAGGGGTCTGATTGAAGCTGTCTTGGAGGGTTCCGGGGGTTCTGGGCAAGAAAGGCCGCCCTTTCACGGCTGGTCTGGGGGTTGGGGTCTGAAGTTGCTCGCCTGGGAGGGTTGTGACCCCCTCCCTTTTTTGTTACAAACCGTGGAGTAGGGACTCGGACCGCCATCGTCTCGAGAAGCGCAGTGCGGAAGCCCTTCGCGGCCCTCGGCCTCTGGGGGTGGGGGCCCTCGCTGGGCTGGGCCCCGGAGCCGATCGAGCGGCGGCTCTCACGATGCGAAGCAGACCCTGGGTGGGCAGGCCCAGACCTCCGCGGGGGCCCGCGCTCGAGAAGCCCAAGACGCCGAGGGTCCCGTCGATGACAAGCGCGCGCGCGCTGGTCGTTGAAAGTAGGTATGCTTGGGCCTCCCGGATCCCAAATCTACCCTGAGATCCTGGCATCTCAATTTTGCTCGAGCCGGGCGTTTTCGCCCTTGTTCGGGCCCCAGGACCCTCACAGATCGATCCAGTTCGAGACATGACGCAGAAGGATAGCGTCTGGGGCTCCGGTCGTGACTTGTTGCAATGTTGTCATTTTTTGTGCTGCGTCGGATCTCAGGGAAGCGCATCCGACAGTCGTCGAAAGTGGGTACTGTTGGAGCTCCCAGATCCCGGTCTCCTTCGAGCGCCCTCCTGCTTCAAGGATCGGCCTGTTTTTGCTGCTGCCTGCTGTCGTTTGGGCGGTCCAGGGTCCAATCTGCTCGATCCGCCTCCCTCCTTCATGTTTCCACGTACTTCAGGAGGGGAAAGAACACACACACAGACACAATTAATCGTCGATCCCCCGGAAAATATGGGAAGTGTGGAGGGAAGACGAAAACCTACAAAAAATGGGGAAATATGGGGAATCCTTCTATTTGTGTACATCTGTTTGTGTGTCCCAGGGCCCCTTCAGTACCTCTTCCGACGGGCGGGCACTGGGCCAGCTCCCGTGCCCTGCCGGCCGGTACCCAGAGAGCAGGTCCCCGACAAGAAGTTTGAGTCCTCGAGGCAGCGAGGCAGGCAGGCCTGGCTATAGGCAGCACGCCGTGCTCACCGGCCCTCTGGCCTTCGCATCGATCGCCGCTCGAGCTCATCGCGGATCTTTCATCGCAGGGCTTTTAAGGGCTTCTTGTCCGAACGCATTCGGAAGCATGGCGGGGGGCAATTGGCACATCGCCGCCTCTCCACCGAGGGGTTGACTGATGACGGAACAGGGAGGAGAGTGGGAGGCGGGCGCGGAAATGTATACGTTTGCATAAGCTTAAGCATGTAATGATTAGAAAGGGATGTGATGATGTAGAAATGTGTAGAAACAGTGATAAAGAAAGAGCGAAAGAGAGGAGAGTGAAGAGAGAGAGGGAGAGAGAGAGAGAGAGACAGCGAGAGCGTGAGCGAGAGCGAGAGCGAGAAAGCAAGAGGAGAGAGAGAGAGAGAGAGCGAGCGAGCGAGCGAGCGAGAGAGATCGAGAGAGGGAGGAGAGAGAGAGAGAGAGAGACGACGGAGAGTCGAAGGCGGAGAGAAGGGTAGGGTGCGCCAATGCGCAATTCTCATGATCTCACCCGCCGGCATCCCCGAGGAGTGCCGCCTGCCGCGATCCCGTCCCCAGCGGCGCTGGAAGGCGCCCCCTCGCCCGGGGCCCCGGGCCCCAGTGCTCGACGGCCAGACGCCCCCACGCCCTCGATCGTGAGGGGGATTTCCTCTCTCCTCCCTCCTCCTTCCCCCCCTCCCTTCCTCCCTCCCTTCCTCCCTCCCTCCCTCCTCCCTCCTCCCTCCTCCTCCTCCCCCTCCTCCCTCCTCCTCCTCCCTCCTCCTCCTCCTCCTCCTCCTCCTCCTCCTCCTCCTCCTCCCTCCTCCTCCTCCCTCCTCCTCAGATATACAGCGTCTTGATTTTTAAATTCGGAGTCCCTGAAGTCCCCGACGTTTTCCCCAGCCGTTCTTGGCCGTCTCGGGACCTGGCGAGGGCTGGGCCGAGCACGGCACAGACGTCTCCCGTCTTGGGTCTGTCCACGAAGCGAGCACGTCTGGGAGCACACGTTCGGAGGATCATCGAGCTGGGATGCCCCCGCCTCTGCGGGCCCCCTCGCGTTTCCCCGGTTCCCCCCTGGGCCGTCCGCCGAACCCTGAGATCCGACGTCGCGGAGATCATACCCAAACGCGAAACATCACTGCCAAAAGGCCGAGAACAAAAAAAAAACGCGAAAAATCACGGCCCGAGCCCCATGCCCCATCTTTCTGCGGCGGATCTGTGAGGGCCCCCGGGGGCCCGAAGCCGGGCGAGCCCGCCCCGTGTGGACAAAAAGTCAATTTCCAGATCCGAGGGACAGACGCACTTTTACTTCGCAGCGCGGCAGAGGCAGTCCGCACGCGCGCTCGGGCGGGCCGGGAGACGGCAGGCGCCACGCGTCAGGCGGCAGGAGTGGGAGAGGAAGGGGGGAACAGGGGCGACCGCGGGGCACCATCCAATCTGCGGGAAGCGCACGTTCGGAGGATTGCGCCTGGAAGTCCGGCGGGAGAGCACCCAGCTTGCCACTCTACTCTTCCTCTCTCCCTCCTCCTCCTCCTCCTCCTCCTCCTCCTCCTCATTTTCCTCCTCCTCCTCCTCCTTTCCCTTCTCCTCCTCCCCCTCCTCCTCCTCCTCCTCCTCCTCCTCCTCCTCCTCTTCCTCCTCCTCCTCTTCACCCACGTATGGGGCACAGGTTGTGGATAGACGACTTATCTCAGACAGCGAGAGGCTCGCGACGGGCAATTCGTGCGCAGATGGTCGAGTGCATCACCACCACGTGTGAGCAGCTGGCGCTCAGGCAGTTGAGAGTGGCGGCGAAGTCGACGATCATGTGCACGAACATCCAGGACACGAGCGCCATTGCTCGAGCAGTGCGTCGTCGTGGGTTCCAGATCAAAGGGGTGAAGCAAGCAACGTATCTCGGCATCGACTTTGGTTGTGGCAGGCAGGCAGGGTCGACCCGCAGGTTACGGGATAACAAACATAAGTTGATGTCGACGAAGATCAGGAAGTTCACCACCGCCTCTCGGCAATATCGTATTATTTCCAAGCTCCAGAAGCAAGGAGGTTTACCTGCGGGCCTCTACGGCCACCAGGTCCACGGCGTCTTCGGGCAGCAGTTGGTTCTGGCGAGGCGGCGACTGGCACAGGCATGTTCGAGCGGCAACAGGGGCAGGTGCCTCACCACGGTCCTCGACCTCAAGGCACCCAAGGCTGACCCAGCCATCAGGATGGTGATCCAAGGAGCTGACCTCTGGCTCAAGACGTGGCGGGACCATCCCCATATACGAGATGGAGTCCGTCGCATCTGGCCGAAAGTTGTAGCTCGACTGCAGGGCACCGAGGCCTCCAACCAAGTCCGACTTGTACGAGGGCCCGTGTCAGCAGTTGTCCTGAACCTGCTGCGCGTGGGTTGGCAGCCAACCTCGCCCAGTGAATGGCGTTACCCCACCAGTGACAACACGTACGAGGCTTGGACTTTTCCAGATGATTCATATATTGGCAACCCGCACTTGGACCAGCACCAGCATCTGTTGCGTGACTTAGGAGAAGCAGCCAGCCGCACTACCTGGACACAGGCAAGCAAGCAATACCTTGGAGGATGACTTGAAGGAGGAGTGGATAATGAATCTTGCCGTGTTCTGCTCCGCCACCTCTCCTCTGGCCCCGACGGAAGCAGGCTGGCGGAGACCATGACAACGATTGCTGCTGCTGGTTGCTGGCCCAAGGTGAGAAAGGTTGAGAAGATCAAACACTTCCAGGGATCAGACCTTTGTGATAGGTGCAAAGAGAAGCCAGAGACTGCCCTACATCGATATTGGGAAGGCAGCCACAACAAGGGGTCCAATGCTTTCGACATGAGTGAGGACCTCGTGATCCAGGCCACCACTCAGCTCAACACAGCGGAGGCCTTCTGGCTGAGAGGCCTCATTCCCGAACCGTGGGCCCGCGTCCCAGAACCAGTTGGGCAGGACTCTTGGGGAGCGACGGGCGTGAATGAGGTTGAAGCTGGGTGTTTCGGTGAGGGATCACGCGAGTGTCCGCTATTGTTTTCGGGGGGCGCCTCGGGGGGGCCTGACTCCAGGTCGCCTCGGCTCCGCCGTGTAGGAGTGGCCATAGCCAGGTTTTCCTCTTTGACCCCGCTGTGCCTCGAAGCCTCCATACTGGGCCCCCTGAGTGGCCACAGACAGGTTGTTGCTCGTGGTGAAATCATGGCGTTCTATTTAACTATGTACACCACGCGTGGTTATGTCCTGTATATAACTGATGTTGAGCCGCTGGCTGAGAGCTGGTACTCCAAAGCTTTTCTCGCGCCTAGAGGCCCCGATGCGGATTTGTGGGCCAAGATCGGGAACCTCATGAGTGCTAGAAGATTCAGTGACATCACCATTCTTTTCACCCGAAGTCACCAGGACGAGGGGGACATAATTGCAGGACGGTCGGTCCGCAGTCTTGTGCTTGCTAATACGGTGGCAGACGCCTTAGCAGACAAGGCCGCCGAGCTCGCGAGGATCCCAGAGGCAATTCGGACTGATGTGAACCTCATCGAATACAATGCCTTTCGGATTCGACGTCGGCTCCTTCGAGCAACTCTCGATTGTTTTGCTGCTGCGAAGGCTTTAGCAGTGGAGGAGCGGGATAGGAACAAACGAGGGCCCCCCCCCTCCCCCCCCTGCCCCGCTGCTGCTGCTCCCGTCCCTCTCCTATCGGCTCACAGGCTCCGGGGTGTAAACGTACGTGCTTGAAATGTTGCGGGTCGGCCTCTCGGGCTACAATGGCCGAGTGGTGGAAGACCCCGTGTCCTGTTCTTGTCAATGTTGGCGGGGCTGTCCTTTCCCCCTCCAAGGGGGAGCGGTTCCATGTAGCGGGGGGGCTGACTGCACCCATCCCACTTCCTCAATTGTCATACCGTGCTTAAAACCTGGTTGTGTGGGTGTTGCGGGGGTATCGCTGATAAGCAGCTTCGGTCCCTCGGCAAGCCCTGCGCGCCCCCCACCCGTACGGGGCGTGAGTATCTCGACCGCATCCAGAATGGGCTCGCCCCGAAGGTCCGCAGCAAGGCCGAAGAGCAACGTCGGCAGCCAAGGCCTTAATATCCCCCCTGTGGTCGTTATTCAGAACCTGGTGTCGCAGTTGGTTCATCTCATCTCATCTCCTCCTTCCCCTCCTCCTCCTCCTCCTCCTCCTCCTCCTCATCCCCATCCTCATCCTCATCCTCATCCTCATCTTCCTCCTCCTCCTTTTCCCTTCTCCTCCTCCTCCTTGTCCTCCTCCTCCTTCTCACCCCCCCCTCCTCCTCCTCCTTCTCGTCCTCCTCCTCCTCCTCCTCTTCCTGATCCTCCTCCTCCTTCTCCTCCTC